TTAGTCCTACTGTGTATACTTTTCACTGCTACATGATATATTGTACTGGCTATATTGACATTTGGTTATTCAAAATTTGATAATTCAGTAACCAACATTGTCCAGTCCACAGTTAACATTATCTCTTCTAGTGACCTTTATCAAAGTTCTTATTGATGGTAAACACAATGCTTTACTTTCAATTAATTTTGTGCATGCTGAGGAGCATAAAAAGTAAATCCAATAAGCCAATATTAATAATTGTGAAAAATGAAAATCTCTTGTGTTTGCTAAGACCAATTAATTTCAATTGATAAATTAATTGAAGATATTCATCATCAATCTCATCAAAAAAATTTAAACAAGCTTTTTATTGATTTTTTTTAACATATTTTGTAGTTCAAAATTTGTCTCTGTAGAAATTTCAGCTGAATATTCATTTAGACGAGCAAGAACATTGAATATTTGACCAATTCTCCACATCATTTGTCTGCATACTGCTGTGCCACAGAAACCAATTCTATGCCCGTAAATTTTTAACTTAAAGTGACGTCCTGGACAGATACGACTGAGGTTTGTCTTCACTGTTTTGTTGAATGATTCTTTAATCTTTAGCTGTGGTTGAACGTATACTCACACTTTCTACGAGAGATTTTTTCATTCACACATTTTGTCAGATAGAGTCTGCAGTACCCATTCTTAACTAGCAACTTTGTGACCAGCTTTATTTTGAGCGCTTCTTGCCTTCTTATCTGCATTGTCATGGCTCCCTCCCAACATCGCATTGATCTAGTATCCAGATAATCTTCACTTTTACTTCCCCTTTAGTTAATCTATTCATTTTTTTTATTTTCCAACTCTTGTTTAAAAATTTTGTTTTTTTTTTCAATGGCCTGGCAATTTTTGTGCTGTCTGTGAAGATTGGGATTTTTTTAATCCACCAACATTTTTAAAACTTTTTTTTATACCCCAATTTTTTTCCTAATTAATATATGCAGAACATTCTGTACTGTTGCTATTGCGATGATGTTTTTGTTGTTTTTTTTGATAATATTGTCATTGTTGTTGTTGATGATTATGTTGTCGTTGGCTGTGATGATGATGTTTAGCTGTTTATGATGATGTTGTGTTGAAGTGGTGGCTGTCAATCAAGAAATGGTTGTTGATGTTAATAATGTTGTTGTTGATGTTAATAATGTTGTTGTTGATGGTGATGTGTTAGTTGTTGTTGATGATGATGTAGTAGTGTAGTTGTTAAAAATGAGGATTTTTTGTTTCTGATGGTGATGTTTTTGTTTTCAACAATTGCTATTTTGTTATTGACGTTGTTGTTTTGTTATTAAGGTCTTAGATGTGCCAAGCAAAGATATGAAACTTTTTATATTAATGCTATTAGTTTCTCTCAAATGATTAAAATGCATTTTCCTATGAAAAATTCACCAACAAGTATGTCTATATTATTATGGTGATTAACTCTCCACCATATTATGTAGTTAGTGCAACTGACACTCTGCGGTGTTTGTGTAGACGGTGTAGACGGTGTTTGCGACGAATCTCTGCTCGTTTCTTGTCTTCCGCACGGACTACAAAAGTTTGAGTTTCAACCCTGTCTTGGGAAAATTCTTAGAACTCCAAACTCGCTTGACTCAACGTTTATTCGTTCAAAAATGTTTGTGTATTATAATTACAAAAAGTGATTATTTAATTGATGACTTACGCGTATTTATTGTATCGAAGTAACACAAGGTAATAAAAATACGTGTATGTTTGTGTGAGTGTGTGAGAAGGTGTATGAGAAAGAAAATATGTGTTTATATGCACATTTGCACATCTGTATGTACGTTGCAACAGTGTTTGCTCCCTGTTTCTAGTTTATGGTTTATGATTATTGGTTTTCCATAATTTACCTATCATTATTATTGCGACATTAATATCGTCCATTTAAACTTTTATTGTTGAAGAATTTTTGTTTTTGTTATTGTTGTAGATGTTTTAATTGATAATGATTGTGTGAATTTGTTGTTTTTGTTCGTGACTGTGTGGATGTTGTTGTTTTTGGTAATGTTGGTGAATCGTGGATTCTTATTGTTTGGTTCTTCATAACTTTTTCTTATTATTTTTCTATTGTTACATTTTTAAAATGGTGTTAATCTTGTTGATGTTATTATAAACATAATTTTTTTTTTAATTTTATTGTTAAAATTTGTTGACGACATTTTTTTTTCAATCATTTATTCAACTTATTTCTCTTAACATTCACTGAGTGCAATAATCTGATTTCTTTGTAAACATTAACTAATTTAATTTTTTGTGAATGTAACAAGGATCTTACATGTTGGCAAACAAGTGATGTTTATGCCAATATTAACTGGGTGACAAAATTTGCAATTAAGTTCTAATAAATGTTAACTTCTGGCTCAAATATGATGTCTTCATGAGCATTATCTTGCTAGAAGAAACCTGATGATTATGCAATGGTTTCGTACTCACACTCTTTATGAACATTAACATTTGGTAAAATATTTAGTTGTTGTTTCAAATATAAACCGGGAAAAAAGATTATACGTCTCTGTAAACATAAACATTTTAACAAAGATCTCATGTCTTTGTGGTCATTTAGTGGTCTGCCAAAACGTAACGTCTTCGTGAGTTGGCAAGACAATCTGATAATGTCAACAATAATTATTCAATAGATATTAACTGGGTAATAAAAATTTGATGTCTAGGTAGAAATTAACCAGCTAACAAAAATTTCATCATTCTATGAAAGTTAACTGGAATGCAAAAGTCGTATGTTTTTGAGGAAATCACTTGGACATTTGCTTAGTAATAGAAATCTGATGTCTAAGCAAACCTTAACAAACGAATAATGTTGGAAACATTACTTGGTCAATTATATTGTTTCAATTTATTTTCAGATTTGTTTTCAAAATTTTGAATAGAAAGAGTTTATATAACTTTTTTGTTATTATTGTTACTGATCGATTATTGCAACTTTAATTATCGTAATAATAATAATAATATCAATAAATAATAGTAATATAAGTAATATTATTATTATTATTAATGTGGTTGTAAATAATAACGTTGAATTGGATTTGTTGACATGAACATCTTACTGTTGTTTCTGAAGGCGATGTTGTTGTCGTTTTGAGCTGTATATTGTTGTCGTTGTCTGTGTGTGTGTTGCATTGTTTTTGTTGTTGAACGTGACTTTGCTTTTATTGTTGGTTGCATTAAATGTTATATGTGCTGTGTTATTTGTTGTGTGTTTGTTGTGTTTATTCGTTGTTATGTGTGAAATTATTATTATTATAGCGTGTTCTGTGTTTTTGTTTAGCATTTTATTACTGTTGTGTGTGTTTGTTGTTGTCTTTGCTGTTGTTTTATTGCGTCATTATTAAGACTATTGAACGATCTCATTCGAATATTGCTCTTTCTCTTCTTGGTATGGTATGGTATGGAATGCTTGTTACTATAATGTTTTAGCTGAGTTGTTTAATTTATTTTTGGTTTAATTTATTTTTTATTACCATGTAGTAGTAGTAGCAGTAGTAGTAGTAATAGTTGTTGTTGTTTTGACTGGAGTTTGATGCGGTTTACTTGCAGCTGCTATATTTAGAATTTCGTCGTCATGTATTCGAGTATTGCTACTTTAAAGAGCATGAAAACAAGAAATAACTATTTTTTTCAAGTTCCTGGTTTCGAACAACAGTTAACACATTCTCAAAGCTAGAGTATAAGAAAAACTGACGAACAACTGTCTCAATGTGAATTTAGATTGGAATGCTTCCTGTGTGGATGCACATGCTGGTGTGTTGGTTCATCTGTCTGTACAGACGATCGTGGTGCTGGTGGTCTTTTTAATTATTCTTAATAACTGTATATACAACAGTCTGAACCCATATATATATATATATATAAATATATATATATATATAATATGAATGTATGTGTGCGTGTGTGTGTGGTATTTTTGTATGGATTCATAAGTTGCCTCCCGCGGAATATTGACATGCTATCAGGATGAGGGCCTTGTGTCACGTGAGTCCATGTTCGTTAGTCATGCTCTGTTGAGTGGATGATGATGATGATGATGGTAGCGCTGATGATGGTGCTGGTTCAGCTGATGATGATTGTATCGGCGGTAATAACGATGAAGACGACGATAATATTGATCTAAAAAAAGATGTTTGTTTTTTGCTTGTAATTATTTCATTGCGATTCACTTTGTTAGTCTGTTGTTGTTGTTGTTGTTGTTGGTGTAACTGTTAGTGTTGTTGATTTGACTGAATAAAATTTATAAAATAGGTAAATTAAATAAAAAGGATGCAAATGGATCCATTATTCGTTTTCAAGGACAATCATAACCCATTTATTATTTAATTATTATTATTCTCAGTAAAGGATTAAATGTTACTACTAAAATAATAATTATTAATTTTCTAAATGATTTTTGTTAAATAATACTAAAGGGGCATCAAAGGCACATACGGCACATGTAAAAAAAAGTGTAAATCCACGCGCCACATACATATTGCGTTACAGGCAAGAATCTCTCTGCATTCAAACTCACTCACTGCATCATCAAGAGCAGGCATCTTAAACATTAAACCATCCAACTTTTCTTAAAAGCAATTATTTGTTTTGCATTTGATTATTTTTTTTTATTGAATTTTCTGTTCAATCACTTTAGTATTCATCCACTAAATTATGCATTCTAATTCGCCTCGTGAACAGGAACATCAGAAACTTCAAACAAATTGATGTCAGTATGTTCACTTTTTAGAATGGAAAACAAGTTAAATATTTTGGTGGCATACCACTTAGAGCTTTAGACATGATCACAACAATTTAAACAAATTTGATTTGTCAATTGTCAACCAGTGAAATTCAATCAAGCATATCTACACTCATACTCACATGCCAACCAAAAAATCAATCAAACGGGATCATTTGCACGCCATTCGTACCACATTTCAAAACCCAATAGTGAACTTGTCAAACAGAACTTTAAATTGATTTACGGATTTTGAACCCACAATTTTCTGTGTTAAAGAATTCCATATGGGCATGATTCTGATAACTAATGCATATTTACTCATGCTTGTTCTAACCTTATTTCGTTCTAACTTTTTATCGTGTCCTCTAGTTATCGAATCTGTACGTAATTTTAGATCTGAATATAAATTACTATTTAAGTTATCATTCAAAATATCATACAAAGTAATTAAATCTCTTCTAATTTTACGGAATTTTAATGGGGATAAATTTTAAAACCTCAGTCTTTCATTGCATTTCATACCACGACATTCATAAAACAATTTAGTAACTATTCTGAACTCTCTCAATTTTCAAAATAGTAACTTTCTCTCAACTAACCCAATCAAATCAATTTGCCACGCTGACCATACAGCAGACATAATCTAATTTAGACCTAACCATAAACTTATATAAAGTCAAAAATGAAAATATATCCAAACCAAAAAAGTGAGATTGAATTAAACCTATTATTCGATAACATTTATTCAAAATACTATTCACATGCCCATCCAATCTCATTTTATCATTATATGTAACACCGAGATCCTAAGTAGATTCAACTTTATTTTACAAACACCTTCCTACTTTATAACTAAGAATAAAATCGTTATTTTTACCTGAAGACATCCATATACATTTATCCACATTCAAAACCACATTGTTTCCCCACACCAACCAACCAAATTGTTTAACGAAAAATCTAATACCAATATATATATATATATATATATATATATATATATATATATATATATATATATATATATATGTCATAGAAGTCTCGATGTAATAGCCTCTAGATACGAAAGGGCTAACCCACGCACATCATTACTTGAGCATAGTAGGCTCAGGCTTTTAAGCTATCGCTTTGTTAAATGAATGACTTTTGCTTAGACTATCTTTATTTATATGTGTTGCACGTTGTTTTATAATGCTGTTCAGATTTGGTCAACGCTCATTCACTGAAAACTTTTGGATCGTTAATTGTTAATTTTCCTCTTTTTAAATAATTTTACATTGTATATAATATTTCGTCTGTAATTATATATAAAATGGTAAATAAATGCTCAGCTTACGGATGTAAAATTGATAAAAGTCATGCTAACTGTGAACTGGACAATACTGGTTGCTTAACTCTTTGATTAAATTCTCTTAATCAGTTACAAAGAACTTGTCTTTTAATAATTGGTAAAGTGTATGTTGTGAAACAAATTGAATTCAAATTTTTCATTCATCATCTACGTAAATAAATATTAAGAGTCGTGCAATAGACCATCATACTCAACAACTTATCTTTCTCTTATTTGATTTAGCCCATAACATGAAAATTATTTACAACAACTTCTTGATCAAAATATAAGTTTCTTTTCCTGAATATCACAGCTATTTCTTAAATATCTCCCAATGCACAGCAAACTTTTCACACATATAGGAATTATACAAGTTAGAATAACATTTTTCTTTAAAAAAAGCACACAAATTTAGTAAAAAATTATTTAATCTCTCAAACATAAAAAAAGACGGTTGACTTTTGGAAACGAATACAGGAATTTGTTTGAATGGACAAAGTGAATGCACTGAACAATTTAAAGACAGCACAATAAAATCATTTGTGAACCGGGCATTCACACACTCTTCCGATATTGAAAATCGCGACGCTGAATTAAAGAGGGTCACTAACCTGCTTGTAAACAATGGATATAAGACTTACTCTATTGAAAAGATTGTTAAAAACAAATTACTACACAGCAATAACCTTCCTAGTACCAACAATCAAGATAACGACATCATCTTGTATTACAGAAATCACATGTCAACAGCATACAAGGTAGATGAAGCTATTCTTAAGCATATCATCAATAAAAATGTCACACCAACCAACCCAAATAGTAAAGTTAAACTCAGAATTTATTACAACAATAAAAAGACGTCTCACCTAATACTGAAAAACAACTGCAGTTCTAGAGATAACTCTGAGTTAAAGCGTAATCACGTAATATATGAATTTAATTGCCCCTTTGACGGTTGTGCACGTCAACATGACTCATATATCGGGATTACTACTACCTCACTGACTATAAGGCTTACGATGCATAAGCAGAGTGGTGCTATCAAATCTCATTTGGACTCAACACACTCAATCACAATTAGCCATGAAATCCTCGACAGCAACACCAAAGTAATATACCAGAACAGCAACTACACGCATCTTAAAATTGCAGAAGCAGTCCTAATCGACATCAATAAACCAAAAATAAATATACAACAAAAAATGACAACCTCACTTCCAACCCGGCGCTTAACCAACAACGAAAACAAAGAAGTAATAAAAACTAGCATCGTAAATAGTGACAAAGAAGAATATGATGCTATCGATGAAGAAAAGGAGACCAAAGAAGATGACCAGCCAATTAAGAAACCTGACACCTAATTCGCATCAAAGTTCAATTTTACAACACCAAAGTTAATTTTTACAACGTCAAAGTTAATCTTGACCAAGTCAATATTTCCCTATATATACAGCAAGGAGCACTGACGATGATTCATTCGGAATCGAAATATGGCCTTATTTGCAGCATGAATTCGAAAAATAAGTTTATTTTGAATTTTAATAAACTAAACGTTCACCAAAAAACTTTAGTGAGAAAAATCGAAAAAACGAACTACAAACATATTAACACCAAACATTCGGTAGAATTTATAGAATATTGTAAAAATTATGGTACATTACCAACATATATATATAAGTGTATGTGTGCTTGTGTGTGTAATATATATATGTATATATATATATATATATATATATATATATATATATATATATATATATATATATATATATATCTCGGATATCGTGTTCTTGTGTAAAATTGTTCCCATCCATGACAAATTGATATTACCTTAAATAGTGTGAATATCACTCAGACATGGTTCACTTAAAAAACCAATAACACATCTCAAATCTTTTCTCCAAATGTACACAACCTTTCTACACCCACACAGGCAAGTTATACAAGCAAATTGACTAAATTTACAAAAGCCTTTATTGTGCTTATTTTATATTGTTCCATGTTAAATTTCTTGTCACGTAGATCGTTTAATTAATTGATATAATATTGAAAGACATTAAAAGAAGAGAAATAAACTAAGCAACGTTCTTGACTTGTTTATTATCCACCGGATCAACAGGAAAGGAAAAAGTGAAGTTACATACAAAGCAAAGAACATTTGGCCCAAAGAAAATAAATGTATATTATAAATCATAATGTTTTAATATAAAACATAAAACTTAACACCTTCTCATTTTAATTAAAACATTAGATGACCTTAACCTAAATGTTCTGAAGACCCATCGCACACATAAGATTCTTTAGTCTTGGTCCTACCACTGGTTTTGTCAGAGCATCAGCAACTTGAAATTCTGTCGCAACTCGATCAACTGAAACTTCTTCTTCTGCAATTTTTCCTCTGACAAAGAAATGTCTAATGTGGATGTGCTTTGTTCTTCTGTGAAGTTCTGGATTGTGTGCTAAACGAATTGCTGCTTCATTGTCGACAAAAATTTCTGGCTTTTTCTTTAGATCTACAATGTCGTTTAACAATCGTTTGAGCCATATCACTTCACGATTTCTGCTTCAGTAGTTGAAATCGCGACTGAGGGTTGACGTTGGCTAAACCAACTGATCACGCTTCCTCCAAACATACAGATTACACCTGATGTCGATCTTCCACTAAATTTATCTCCTCCATGATCTGCATCACTGTAGGCTATAAGTGTATTGTTTTGACCAGACTTGTAAACAATACCGACATCAGCTGTGCCTTGCAAGTATCTGAAAATTTGCTTAACTTGTGCTACATTGGACTTGCTGGGTTTCTCTAAACTTCTGGATGCTACTCCAACTGCATATGCAATATCTGGTCTTGTTCCCGTCATCAAGTACATCAATGCACCAACTGCTGATCTGTAAGGAAATTTCACTTCCTCGTGTTAATTTTTGTTTTCATCGAACTCCTCAGATTTTGAAATCGGAGTTGTACAGGATTTACACTGACTCATCCCAATTTTTTCAAGAATCATTCTTGTATACGATGACTGATTGACATTAATATTTCCCTTCTCATCTTGATTAATCTCTAATCCAAGGAAATATGTTGCAGTTTTAAATGTTATCTTGAACTCTGACTTTAATTCTTTTTTAAATATTTTTAGTTCTTCCTTATCGGTTCCTGCAACTAGTCCATCATCAACATACAGTGCAAGTATGAGTTTCTTTCCTCCCTGTGTTCTAATGAACAAACAAGTATCTGCATCGCTTTGTTTGAAATGTCTCTTTTTCAAGAATTCAGCAAAGCGTTTGTTCCAACATCTTGGAGCTTGTTTAAGTCCATAGAGATTCGCTTGAGTTTACAGACTCTTCCTGAATTATCTTTATAACCTTCAGGTTGCTCCATGTAAATATGTTCATTTAGTTTGCTGTATAGAAATGTTGTTGACACATCAAACTGCATGAGTGACATCCTTTCATTTGCAGCAACACTTAATAGTGTTCTTATAGTTGAACTTCTGACTACAGGACTATAGGTTTCTTCATAGTCAATTCCCTTTTTTTTAAAAAAACCTTTTACCACTAGCCTGGCTTTAAAACGTTCAACAGAACCATCTGGATTGTGTTTTACCTTGTAGACCCATTTGCATGGTATTGCCTTATGACCTTTTGGAAGACTTACAAAATCCCACGTTTGATTTTCCTTTAATGACTGCATTTCACTGTTCATGGCTTTAAACCATTCATCTTTTTCATCACTTTGAATGGCATCTTTGTAGCTCACTGGTTCAAGTACTTCACATAATGCAGACATAACGAAAGGATCATAACGAGATGGCTGTTTGATATTATTCCTGTCACGTAAAACCATACCTTTGGTTTTTTGATTACAACAGTCAGATTGATCTTCTTCATCAGATGAAACTGAACTACGGTTGTGAACATCTTCATCAGTTGAAATAATTTCTTTAATCAAAGTTTCTTTATTTTTATCTTTGATTTCAACATCAATCGAAACTGTATCATCTGAACAACTTTCTTCTTGCAAAATCACTGAATTTGGTTTGACAACCTTATCATCAAAAATAACATCTTTTGATCGATGCATTTTATTTCCTGGTTGAACAAAATTCTGTAGCCATCGTCATCTTCATATCCAACGAGGATACCCTTTACAGCTTTAGTATCCATTTTACGTCGTTTCTGCATAGGAATATGAACATAGGCTTTGCTACCAATGATTCGTAGATGTGTTATCTTAGGTTTCTTGTTAAACCACACTTCATACGGTGATTTTCCTTCTACAGAAGATGGTCCAGTTCGGTTGAGTATGTAAGCAGCAGTATTAACTAATTCAGCCCAAAGGGCCTGAGGCAGTTCTTCATGAGCCAGTCTCATGGCTCTTGCTGCTTCAACTAGCGTTCGATTATCACGCTCACTGCATCCATTCTGTTGAGGTGTATAAGGCATAGTTAGGCGTTGTCTAACTCCTTCTTTTTGCAAAATTGATCTGACTTCTTTGTTGTCAAATTCACCTTTATTGTCATTTAATACTTCTGAGACTTTATGACCAGCTGATCTTGACTCTGCAAGCATTTGTCTGAGTCTTTCTGGTACATCTGATTTTTGTTTAACAAAGTAAACAAATCTGTAACTTGTGAAATCATTTTTGAACAAAACAAAGTATCTGTAATTTTGAAATGAGAAGCAAAAAGGACCACATACATCTGTGTGAATTAATTCTTCTGGTCTTGATGCTCTTACTCGAGTTTCAAATTTCAATCGATGTAACTTTCCATAGACACATCCTTCACATAATTCACTGTCTACAAGTATATCGATGTTTAGTTCACGTTTCATGACCATTTTAACATGTTTCTTATGCTGATGTCCCATTCGTTCATGGTATAACATGGTATATCTTGATCATTGACAAAATTAACTTCGACTTCAGAATTCAACGGTCTAACAGTTTTTGCAACAAGTTTGAACAAACCTCCATTGTAGTTTCTTATTCCAACAACCTTTATCACATTGTCAGTAAGTAGATGCCAACTTCTTGAGGTTGAAACAAAAGAGCTATTTCTGTTCTTATCTTGAGTTGCAAGTACTGAGAACAAATTTTTTTTTACTTTTGGCACATACAAGGCATCTGTAACTTTAACAGTTTGCCATTTATTATTCACTTTCACTTGAAGATGAATAATTCCTTTTCCAAAAGCTTCTACATTTACTCGGTTGAGAAAATGTTTCAAAACTTTGAAATATGTCCCTTCGGAAAGTTAGATGACACGTTGCACCATTGTCAAAAAACCATTCATCAGTGTACGCTGACTCATCAATTGCAAAAACACTTGATTCCATAGCAACTAGTGATTTATTGTCATCGCGTAGATTGTTATTTCTTGGTTTTGCTGGTCTACCATCAGAATGCCATTTTTCACAATTTCTTACAATGTGACTTAGCAATTTGCAATAATGACATATCAGTCGCTTTGGTTTGCTGACAAATTTATCTTGTTTTTGACCTTTAATGTTTAGTGATGATGACCTTTTAGTTGTTGCTTTGACAAATAATACTTTATTACATTCTGTTTTGCCTTCCAAAGATCTCTCATAGCTACACAGTTGATCTGTGAGTGTTTCGACTGTTCTTTCAGTCTTATTCAACAATCTCCAACTAGCAGCAAATGAAAAATATTTTTCTGGCAAGGTTTCAATTATTTGGCACATTAGCAACAAGTCACTGTTTTCATCTTTTCCTAACTCAACCTTCAAATCTTTCCAAAGATTCTTGAGTTTTGTGACATGAGTGACAACATCATCGCTTTCATCTATTCTATAACTAAAAAACTTCATGCATAAGTTGTATGCTTTATCTTCATTAACTTCATCATATAATCTGTGAAGTTCTAACCAAACATCTCTGGCATTTCTGAATGAACGAACTTTTTCATACGTTTCATCGGTCATGTTGGTTGACAGAATAACCATAGCACTACAATCTGCTTTATTGAATCAGTTCAAAGCAGTTTGATATTTTACTATCTCATCTTTATTTGAGTCATCGTTCGATTCATCTGGACCTTTTAATTTGCCATTTACTACATCCATTGCATCAGGAATGCCGCGTAGTATTATACAAACCCTCAATTTCCAGTTCAACCAATTACTTTTGCCTTCTAGGTGTTTGATTTGCACTTTTGCAAATTTCAGAGAATGAAGAAGCACGTGCTTTCTCTTCAGTCTTCACAAAGGAATCTTCCGATATTTCTTTATTCCAAACTTTCCTCGTCAAATCAATTAACAAAAAAAAAACATTATCTGGGCCCATAACCTGTTAAATTTTTTGTCACGTAGATCGTTTAATTAATTGATATAATATTGAAAGACATTAAAAGAAGAGAAATAAACTAAGCAACGTTCTCGACTTGTTTATTATCCACCGGATCAACAGAAAAAGAAAAAGTGAAGTTACATACAAAGCCAAAGAACATTTAGTCCAAAGAAAATAAATGTATATTGTAAATCATAATGTTTTAATATAAAACATAAAACTTAACATTCCATGCATTTGTCACTTGGTGACCTGTTCGCTAATATCTTCTTAGGATATCTTGAGAGCAAAACATTTAGAGACAATCGATAATTAAAACAAAACATTTATGCTAAATATGTTGACAATATCTTTGTTGCTTACGATGATTCGGAACTAGTCGACCATCTACTAGCAACCCTGAACCGATAAAAACAGAATTTCCCTATCAAGCACGAAAGTGAAAATTCATTGCCATTTCTGGATGTTTTAGTAACGCATAACGAACTATGATTTACAACTGCCGTATACGTCAAAGCAGGTTTGTTTAAATGGGCTAAACAAATGCACGGAACAATATAAAATAAGCACAATAAAGGTTTTTGTAAATCGTGCATTCACGCATTCATCCTCAATTGAGGATCGCAATACGGAACTGAAAATAATTACTAATCTACTAGAAAACAATGTTTAAAAAAAATCATCCATTTAAAGCACTATTTAACAAAGACTACAGCAAGATAGCAATATATTCAAACACAGCAATGACAACGACATAATCCTTTATTACAGAAATCATATGTCAGCGGCACATAAAATAGGCAAATTATAGAAAAACGTTGCACCAATCAATAAAACTAATAAAATAATACTACAATAATTGTAAGACTAATGTACTATTAGACTTAAAAAAAAACAACTGCACCCCTAAAGACAATTCTACTTTGACGCGTAATCATGTAATATATGAATTTAAATGCCCTACTGACGACTGTGCGGTGTGCGCGTCAACAACACTCGTATATTGGTGCTAAGACCCCTTCACTATCAAGACGTAATAGATATCAGAGCATCAAACCGAAACTGAACTGTAACCGAAAACCGTTGAAAAACCATAAGCTTGTTCGGAACAAAAACCATGTTGTTTGCTAGTTTAACCGAAAACGGTAAAGAAATAAATAATGGTTCGATGTTAAAAATTTAAAAAAAAAATTTGTTGCTAAATTCAGAAAAAATATAGATAGATAAAATTTTGTCTTTTAAAATTTTATGTTAATTTTTTAGATAGATATTATTTTGTCTTTTAAAATTCTATGTTAATTTTAATTATCTTTGAAAATTTGTTATCTTTCTTTTCGTTTGTTTTTCCGACTGAGTTTGTCGATCATTTGAGTAAAAATTGCCACGAGAAAAGAAATCCAATATAATCGGAGAAATTAGAGATCAAGTACGATCATCTTCGAAATCTTGAAAGTCTCCTTTCAACATACATATACATAATATACATTTATATAATATATATATATAATATAATTTAAGCATCGAATTTAAACAAAATAAATAATCAAATGTTTGAAATCAAACCACACATAACAAATTTCATTTTATTACTGTTTTGATTTTTAATTGTTTGATTAACAATGAATTTGTTCTTTCCGTCTGTGACGAAATAACATTGTTGTTCGATTGAAGTTCAATTAGGAAATTCTTTCGATTTTTCTTTTAACGTATTTGTAGATCTGCTTAACAGCATTAGCAAAATTATCACGTGGTAGGACGTTTTCAAGTTGGCAGCCATCCTTCAAAATGGAAAGAAAATAATCGATTTCATCAGCAGAATACTCAACTCCTGCTTGTACTTCTCTCGTCCTGCAGTTCGAATGCTGTTGAAACAACTTCCTCAGTGCATGTCGGCTTCTTTTTCTCTCAGTATATACCACAAATTGTATCGGTCCCCTACACATTGGGCATGTCTCGTTAATTTCTATCCATTTATCGACACAAGACTTGCAGAAGAGATGGAAACATTTACATATGTAGGATGGCTCTTTCCTGATCTTTTTCAAACATACCGGACACTCAGGTCGTTCGTGCTTTTTCTTTTTCCTTACCGATATCTTTGAAACTTTGAAAGTTGAAGACGACGACGGCCTTGGTGGTGACGATGGTGACTTGAACAGCGAAAATAAAACAAACCTCGGATTCCTTGGAAACTCGTACTTTGGTGAAGATGATGGAGATCCTGATGGTGATAATGGCGAGTCGAGTGTTGATAGTGCAATGAAAGCATTCGGTCGTTTCGCTTCATCGGCCACATATTTTTCTATATACTTTGACATGTAATTAGTGGATGATGTGCAACATTCAAATGAGCAAAAAGAGCCTGTACGACACATATTGATTATAGCGAGCAGTATTTCATGAGAGCAGTTATTCCTCTGAAGCTTATAAAATTTCAACTAACTATTAGGAAAATATTACGTTGAAACAAATCAAACCACAGACTAATTAATATCCTCGCGCAGAAGTTTGCCGTCTAACATTTGGAGTTATGAAGAGTACTTAACAGTTTTTCCAATCTGTCACTTCAACAAATTTATATCTTCGTTATTTATATGTTGGAAGCGATTGTAAAATTTTTATGTCTTTGTTGGAAGGGAGCGATTTTAAAATTTTTATATTCTGGTTGATTGGAAATAATTGTAAAATTATTAACATTATTTAAAATTATTACTTTTTAGTTAATGTTTGCGATAAAATATCTTAAAATATAATATATTTTTGTTAGCCAGAATAAATTTATTTGAATACATTTTCTTTGTTGTTCCAAATTGTAAATTATTTCGTTTTAGCGGCTCGCCAATTATAGCGCACAATTTTTTGGGTTGGCTTATAGCTTGTAAGGTAAAAACCACAGGTGCTTCAATCACGAATAATAATGAATAGAAAAGTCTCAGCAAACTTTAGGGACTTTTCGAACTTAGAAACGCATTGATTTCCAGATCGCGAAAAGTGTTTGTTCTCTGGTGTTCGTTTTCACCTTAATTGCTGCCGTTGTACAATTTAAGTGTTACGTTGTCACTACGTTAATATTGTTGTGTCATTTTAAGGACTGTCATACCCACTACATCATTTGTTACACTATCAATAACTTAATTAATTTAAATGAACATAATAAAAAATAAATTTAAATCTCTTCATAGATATCTGTAAATACTATTGCATACAAATATTCCAATTGCTTTGTTGCCTTACGAAGCTCTCATGAGACCAAAAATGTTACACATGTTTAGCACGCACTGCAGTAGATTTCCTGAACGCAAACAAAAACTAAAACGAGTTTAAAAGAAAAAGTTGTGTTAAAAAACAAAAACGAAGATTTTTCAAAAATCGGAAATGAAATGGAAACGTACAAATTAAAACGGAAACCAAAACGAAAGAAAAGTTAAAACAAAAAATTTTGTGATCGACCAATTTTTACAAATTATTTAAAAAATTTAAAATACAATTTGTTATTTTTGTTTTAATTTAATTCTGTATGATTGATAATCATTGCTATCGGTTGTCATTTCTTTGCTTCCGCCATTCCTATGGTTGAGATCTTATACGCTAAGTGTTGAAATCGTGGCCCATTTTTTCGATTTTGTTAGTTAATTTTTGTTTTTGATAATTGTTGACGAAAAATAAATAATAAAATGAGCAAGTAACTTTTCAGGTTGCCAAAAAGATTGTACAGTGTGGTATTATTTCAAATATTTCATTGAAAGTGATGCGTGCATGTGTTTGTGCAACGATGGTAAATGTAAATAAATAAAAAAAGGTAAAAATTTTAACAACTTATAAAATCGTATGGAAAAAATTAAAAGATACTGGTCAAAGATCAAAAATATTGAACTCATTGGAAGATTTGAAGATTAAAATAATTATTTTAATGAAAACCGGTTTGAAAATTTCAAATCATATTACAGTTGGAATGGACATTTAGAGATTTAGTTATTTTTCCAGTCAGCGCTTAGTTTCTCATCTTTGACTCGTCTATTCTCTAACATTTTAATCATAGTTATGTTGTCGGTGAATATTATCGCTTTTTTCATTTCTTGTATTTTTTTAAGCCAATCCACCGCCACCTCTATTGTTTTATTTTATCATCCAAACTGTCATACCACTTACCTGCGATTATCTCCCTTGTAATAACATCTCTCTTGTATGCTACCATTGCTACACCCCTGTTGTTAAAAATCTCATAACTGTCAGTCTGTTATAATATCTCCACAACCGCTTGCTTTAGTTGTTTTATGTGTTTATCATTGTCCTTTGGTTTTAGACATTAAATTTGGGTTCGTTTTCATGGCGTTCTTACCAGTTTTTGAATTAACTCTCTGTAGTTAAATTTGGGTAGGCATTCAAAAAACCTTGTTTGGCAGTTTTTTATTATCATCATTTAAGCATTTTTCTCTGCTGCTACTACGTTCGTTGTTCAAGAAACTTCATGTTATCGCCTGTTTAGCTCCCTGTTGATCCAATCCCTATCCGGGTCATATTCATGAAATTGGGTCATGTTCAGCCTTCTCTCTTGGTGTGCTTTTGAATACTATTCGAGACGTCTTCAATTGTTAAGTCTCAGTTTTTCCACGTGTTGTTTTTAAAAGCAGTAGTAGGAGTGGTTGTTGTTGTTGTTGGAACAAAGGATGTTCATGAAAATCACGTTTATGACGATGACGGTTACGAAAGTTAGGAAAAAAATAGATGGTGATGAGGGTGATGATGATACGATTAATATTAATGGGGCTAATAACGCCAAAGATGTTGGTGATGATGACGTTGTTAACAAAGATGGAGATGATGGTGATGATGACATTTGTGTTGTTGTTGGCGTCGTCAATAATGACAAAATGAACAAATTAAATGATCGATAATCTCTCCCATCTTAATTAAACACTATGGCACCCACATATTCAGACATATAACTGAGCATACTCATGCAGATATTTTGATGCCCTTTCTTTTTCTTTCTTTCTCTATGTATATATTTCTCTTTTTTCTTTCATTCTCCTCTCGCCCCCCTAACTCCCGTGCAAAAGAACGCTTGACATTATTCGAGAGTAGTTAGTGACCGTCTTCACCCTCGGTTCAACTGCCATCGTTTTTTTATTGGCACCGCACGTAGTGAAATACGATTGAGCGATCTGATGGCTCATCTTATCGGATGCTCACTCGATCGTTTGAAAAATAAAATGATCATTCATGACAACCTGATTCGTGAAGTTAAATTTGGCATGACAGTTAAAATCTGCCATTGCCTGTGATAATATTTTTGCATCAAAAATTTCTGTGCATATTGAAGTGAAACACAAAAAAATATTGGGCCAAAAAAAGAAATAATAAAGCCAAAAGCAAACAAAACGGGAAAACTTCACTCTTACATCAGAAATGCTGATAAATGGTTCTAAAACGAAGAAATTTAAATAATGACTTAAACGAAATCAACCCAGTTTCCTACACTCTTCTTTTTAAGTTATCTAATTAGGGTAACAAAATAAAGTTGAAAACTCATCTTCTACTGCGTTCAGATATGTGTTGAAAATTGCGAAAAAATTGTAATGAACTGAAACGGCTTAAAAACATTATGAACCAATTTCCAGTTCATCAAACAAAAAAGCATTTAATTCGCCACATTGTCGACAATGTTACGGCTTGCATTGCCCTAGACAATGACTATTGCATCGTTAATCAGGATTTGGAGCAAATGCGATCGGACGTTTGGACGATTTTTTTAACTCTGTCAACAAAAAGCTTGAAAAAAATAAAAAAGTATTTAAAAAAGCAAACAATTACAATTAATATGGATGAGAAATAAAATCAATTATAATCAATTAATTAAATGATTAAAAATTTTCAATAATTTTTGCTGCGTTCATTTACTGCAGTTATTTCTCTGAAAACATTCCACAAATTCTGTAAAACAAAGCAATTCAAACTATAAAGATGTCTTCAGGTGCACAGCAACTTTTGATATATTTGTGTGTTATTGCTAACTTCTGGTAATAAAATAGAAGATAGATATAAATAAATAATTATTTAAAAAATAATATATATTATACATTCCAGCGTGTGGCAGCTATGGAGACTTCATCTCGGTAAGAAGGAACCTAGTATTATACATCTATATACACTTTGTTAAAACGGTTAATGAGTACAACATCACGAGGTTTTAATTAATCGTCATATGGATTGAATTGGATGATGGATATAATTTTTCGCTATAATGTTCATAAAAACCTGTACATGTACAATTACTATTTATACACACATGTGTGAGCTCATCCGTCAAAAATATTTTCAGCGTTTATTGAGCACTTGGACTCCTATAAATATAAGGGAGTCTATGGATGTGCAACAAACAAAAGAGATCTGATTGCTGGCTGAGGTCCTTGCTTATTTTCAACTCATTATAACCAGATATTATAACTATATTTCTATACATTCTCCAAAATCCATTATATAAATTTTTTATACATTTATATAACATGCAAATATTAATATAAAATTTGATGTTTTTATTTACATACCTTTATATAACATGCATATGAAGATAAAATTTAAATTACCCTAAAGCTATCATATATAGCATCGAATGACGTCAGAGTTACGTCATAATGGACTGCATTAATCTCGAGTTTAATTTTTTTGAAGATTCAAATTATATAAGGGTAATTAAATATATTGAAATTAATAGTGTTGAGAGTTTAGAACGCAAATTATGTAAGTTAATGGAAATTTCCAGACGTGTTGCTAGCTGAACATCGTCAGCCGCGCATTACATGTTACGTGACATTCATTCACGGCTGTTACATCTTCATGCTTTGTGCTATTGTTAGCTTATTAAGTTTAATTAAATTGATTGATGAATAATTTTTAGATATTTTAAATTAAAAAAAAACATTTAACGTTAATTTTTTTTGTTACTTTTGTTGAAAATAACTTACAAAAACGCTGAAAATATAATTTAATTGAAAGAAATAAATGCACTAAATAGAGGTGAGTGAGAAGGTTTTTTAATTAAAATGGTTTGTTTGTCGTTTATTTATTAAATTATTCATTCACTTATTTAATTATTTATTCATTCTTTCGTTTATTTATTTATTCTATCATCACAATTATTTCCTAATACTTTTCATGGTAATATATTTTTATGAATTCATTGATGAACCGAAATACGCATTGCAAATTTGAAAAATAAATATAATGATGATGATTGTTAAAAAAATAAATACAACATTCTTGTTTTGTTGTTTTAATATTTTCCAAAACGTTTTCACATCAAATTAAAAAACTGAAACCTAGAAATCAAATGAAGTTTTCAATTAGCCCTGCAAGATGGAGTTGAACAGTGTCGACCAGTGATTACAACGAGCATTTACACACATTCAAGTTAATCTATCATATAGTTGCTTGATTACAACTAATAGTTTATAATTATGTAGTTATTTTTTATAACATCTTTGTAAGTTATCATAAAAAGAAAAAAATTAATGCTTAATATATTGATGAGATATTTGTACAGGCACGTTATACTACCGTTAATACATACAGTGGTGGATCTAGACAGTTTAGTTGGGGTGGGCCAAAATGTTCAAATTTTAAATTTTTTCGCGGGGGGTCTAAAATCTGCCACAATTTCTTAAATAGATGGCAGTGGGGCTAAAACTAAGCTGGCGAATTTTTGTTTTTTGCTAATCACGTCAATTTTGGTCAATTCAATTTTCTGCACAAAACGCTGTTCATTCTGTACAAAAATTGAATTTTACTGACTTTTATTACAAATACTGATCGGCCCACTTAGATCCCCACCACGTACATACAATTGTACATTTGACAGCAACAATTGCCAATCAATCAATATCAACCAACTGTAGACACCTTAAATTAAAGATGACGGCGCTCATGCTCAGTGTTTCAAACTCGGGTTCATCGCGAAACTTTGCATTGTGCATAGAGGTCAAACCACTTCACTATATAACGTAAAATTTGGTATAAGCCATAGACATCTTCAAAAAAGGTGTTTTATACAAACAAACTTGTGTACATCAAAATATTTTATTAAAAACGAAATATATATACTTCGTAAACAAAATTTCAATTTTTACTGGCGTTTTTTAAGAAAATCTTTTAAATTTTCTATAATCTGTTGCTATTTTGTTAATGTTTAGTGACATAACTGTCAAGGTTTAGTTAATGATGCAAAGATGTTGCAAAGGTACAGCCCTACAATATTTAATAGATTTGTGCAGAACAACATCATCGATGGAGGGTCGGAGGGTTTGAGGTCTGTCCAGAACAATGATCTCAGGTACCGCGGGGGAAGTTATCGATGGCTTCAGAAAGTTTTGGCAGCGTACGGCCCAATGACGTGGAACAATTTGCCAAAAAATTGAAAAAAAATGAAATTGAAGAGGCGGTTTTCAGATATGAAGAAAGAAAGCAGTGGGCAATGTAGGTTGTGTAAGACCACCACGGTTTGTTTCCTTTATGAACTGAGATAGCAATGTTGCATCAGTTGCTTCATTTTCGATGTTGTGCACAGCAAAGAAAAATTTTCGTTAAAGATACTCAGCTGTGAAAATGACTTTGTGCTTCAATGTGACATCAGATCGAAAAAATAATTCTGTGTTGTCAGTACTGATATCAGCAACACATTCAATGTCCACATCTTCAAAAGCTTGATTGCAAAATGAACATCAGGCACCTACTACATCAAATTTTGTTAGTTGTTGTAAAAGCAGGACTCTGTGATCTCGATGTAGAAATTTCTACCGCACTTTTCTAAAGGATCTTGACCAAATGTTGGAACCGATGATGGCCAGAAAGATGTACCTCAGCAGCAGCAATGTTGAATTTTGTCTTTGCTACAAATGCATCCTCTGCAAAATCTATGGCCTTGCACTGGCGTAGACCAAGCCCATTACGACAGCTTGCTATGGCATCACACATGCCTAAGAGCATCTGAAACTGCTATGGTGTTTTGATGACGTCACGAAATTTTAGAGCACTGCACCGGTCTTTGATAATCATTATCTCAATCCACGTTGCCACAAGATTTATAAAACGTACTGTGCCTTTTTCTACATGCAGTTTTTCTTTTAAGGTAGATAAAGCTGCTACTGTGACTTCATAGAAAACTTAACACACCAAAGATACATACTGACGAAGCAGGATTTTGCGATGAACTGATGTGTAAGAAAGTTTTGTGAGATCTACAATTGTCAATCTGTCTTCCTCGTACAGGGCTTTCACATCAAGTCGGTGTGCAACGAAACTGACCATCTTCAGTACATTTTGACTTATACTTTTAGCTGCTATGGCGTTTTGGTGACGTCATGAAATTGTACAGATCTTATTTTGACTCAATGATCCAGTTATTTTGAATGATTTTGAATGCATGCATATATTAATAGTTAAATGCAAATAAATACAAGGAATACCTTTGTGACTGGCCTAAAAGATTCACCGGTCCTGGGCTACTAATGTTTTTGTACAGGAATTGGTCAAATAATATAAATATAATGCATCCACTGCTTTTTAAAACGAAATCAACAGCTTTCAACTAATAACACTGAAGTTGCTTTGCATCGAGATCAGTTACAAGAATGACTCGAATAATAAAACGAGGTCAACCGTAGAGGCAGATTATCTCAAAAGGTAGATACTTGATCTGGAGCATTTTGTGGATAACCCATGGACATGAACAAAACAGAGACAGAATAGAACAAGGATAAAACTGAACTGCGATAAAATGGAACATTTCTTTATGAATTTATTTATTCTTTGGCACTTTTATTTATTTATTTGTAATGGTAAGCGAAAAAGCTGTTTAACATTGTTTTGTTTTATCATATTCTGTTTTATTTTGTGCTGTGTTATTATAGAATCGATAGATTGTCATCAAATTTAAATTTCAGTTGTTTCTAAACCATGAACCAAAGTTTTGTTACGAACCAAAGTTTAAAATACCGTAAGTTTTTAATTTAAAGTGTCTATGCAATCAACCAACCAATCAATGATTCCCTCCAGACAGGACATTGGCGACCATCGACCTCCACAAAATCCGATCTTCATCCAACTTGTCACTATCATGTTTTTTGATTTAGTTTGTGTTTGTCGATGGTTTTCTTGGCAAAAGTTGTGGACAGTAGGTTGCCATTACTTGCTGTCAACTTTTCTACTTCTAGAGATAGCACTCCATTTTTAAACTCTTCTGATCTGTCTGCCCCCTATTAAATATCAATTATCAATTTAAACAAGTGTCATAACTGTCCCGGTTGACGCAAGTTCGTTTAATTTCCAGTGGAAAATAGCGACACGAAATAACTTTCAAATTATCGATTTATTTATTTACAAAACAATAATTAATTAATTAATTATTCAACGCTAAATAATTTTAACAATAAAAGTTAATGTTCGTTTTTCAATATTAAATATTCAATAACAACCATTCGATATCCCGCATGTCTTTACATACCCGTTCTACCGACGCTTCTCCAACGTCCCAGATATCTCGCCGTTAGAAGGTTCTAGTCCCTCCTCGAACTGAATGCGTCCGTCGTGACACTAGAGCCTCTAGCGAATATATTTTTAACGGCTATAACTGATGTTTTTAGCGCGAGTCATGCTTACGCGTGGATAGGTTTGGAAAGTCGTGTCGGGGCTTAATTCTTAATATCAGTTTAATGTTGATTATTTAAATAATCGGTTCATTTATTTATTCATTCATTCTTTTATTCATTCAGTCTAGTTACTTATGACTTAAATTTCTATAATATATCTCAACTTCTATTCATACGCAGAATTTAATTTTAATTGAAATGAATTAAATGAAAAAATGAATTAAATTTATTTTATTTAGCAGCATCGCTCCGACAATTTTATTGATGAGGCAAAAAGTGAATTTATTCTCTACGGAGGCATCGAGGCGTGTTTTGATCAAGAATTATTCGTTTGTTCGTTTCTTGAAAAAATTCCTGTGATTCGCCGTTTGAAAAATTATTTAAAAATTCGTTTCAATATCATCTCTGCTTTTTTCCTCATGAATTTAAATTCTTCCGACTGTAGCTGCTTCACTACAATATTATAAGCAGGATTTTACAGGGTTAATAAGCATATAAGTATATATAATTCATTGCCTGAGCGGGAGAGAGCAGATACAAATTCAAATTCAAGAAGACGTTTTGCATTTTGCACGTTAACTAGCGGTTTTTTGTGCATAGACATCTTGATAGGTGAATTTTAAAAAAAATGTGAAAGTTACCGTTTGAGGTGGTGGCGGATCTAGGTAAAGGAGAGCCGGCTTCCGTTGTAATCAGTCTTGTTTAACGTCAGTGAAACTCAGTTTTTTCAAAACCGTTAAGAAAAAAAAGTCGTTAGCCTAACTTTGGCCACACTCGCAATCAATTTCAACATTTTTTAAATTTTGGCCTCAACGTTATCTAGTCTCAACGTCACTGGTTTGAGCTGGTGACACTCAATTTTTTGCGATTTGTGCCTGCATATGTTGCTCTAGCGGAACCTGTTTGAATGTCTTGAAAGTGATCTGTCAAATAATTTCACATTTTGGCGTTGCAGGTAATTTTTCTGGTATCCAAAAAATTTTTTATATTTATTTTTTTGTGCTTGCAAATTTAAAAAAAAATCAGATAGTAAAGAAAATAATAGTATTTGTGTATTAATTTAATTTTTATTTTTGCTGAATTTAATTATAACAGTTAAATAAAGGTTTGCTGTCTACACTTGAAATCAACTTTGTGTTGAAACGTTTCGAAATGAAATCTTTCCATTCGAAACCAGCTCGCAGCAGCAAAAATATTAGCAGTAGGATGAACATTTTCATTCAGAACATGTTTACACGCTCCTCGTTTTTTATTGGATACAGTGGATTTTGGGATTAGCAAGAAGTTTAAACGATGTAATTGAAATAATTTCTTTCAATAATCACAGACAACAATTATTTATTTTAGTACAATATAGTTGAGGACATTTTCATATCGCTAGATTCAATCTTATTTGAAGAACCGTTTTAATCTTCTAAATCTGTATACGTTTTATCTGACCGTCTGTTGTGTTTTTATTTGTGTATCTTGCCTTGAATGTGCATGTTTTGTATGTGTTGTTTATGTATATTCTATGTATATGTGTATTTGTCTTTGTCCTGTTTGGGTTTCGCAGCATTCAGGGCCAGCACTACCAATAAATGCTTGTCAAAAATATGCATTTGATAAGAGTATTTTAGAATGGAAGTTTTTCTAGAAAGTTTTTTTGGCAGTGTCGTTCTACAACGACGTTGTTGTTGATGATGATGATGATGTCGTTCTGTTGTTTTTGTTGATGAGGTCATCCTTTTTGTTGCTGATGATGACGTCCTTGTTGTTGTTGCTTCTTGTGTGTAGAATATTAAAAAGTTTGCGCTGTTACTGTAAAAAGCCGAGATTTAATTCTTTATAATTTATAGTTTTTTAATTTATCATTTTAGTGGTCCATATATTTTGCGTCTTTTTCGTTTTTTACTTGCTGCATTTTTTGTTTTTTGTTGTTGCTGGTTTGTTTTTTGTCACTGTTTAAAGTTGTTTACTAAACTTGTTGACATTTCTGACAACATTAATTGCATTAAGAATAATATCAATCCAAATCCTTCTTGCATTGATTTGTTGCATCTGCTGCTAGACTGCTAACTACGTACAACCATGCTAAATAATCTGCTACACCGGTCTGCAACGTTGTCACACATTCGAAAAATCATGTACAATATCTTTACAATAATTTTACACTAGAAAATTTTTATTGTGTTATGCCTTGTATGTGTGTATATATACGCATATATCAATACATATACACATACAACAATCATGTATGGTCATATAAATGTTTATATGACAATATGATAATGATGACGATGTTAATGATACTTCTTTAATTATTAATTTGAAATTGAGCTACTCTTCTACTGCTTTGTTGGAATGCGTCAGAACTGAAAGATAAGTCAAATGATAAGATGCGATCGTTTCCAAACTTGTTATTTTCTATAGGCATGGCCATTATATATATTGTCAGAATTATGAAATAATACTGACTAAAAATACTACAAAATTTTCAACGCAAAATTTATTCATTCGATAGGGGGCATGGTGCAAGTTAATTGACTCGATAGGTGACGACTATTTTTTTTTTGTTTTGCAATTTAGATGACGTCATAAATTATTATAAATTATTTTAAAATTTAATTAGTAGTTTTTTTGATTAATTGGACATACCTTGGAAATTTTTATGTTTTGAAAACACCCGAAACAAAATCTAATTTTGCTTTGATAAGGAAGGGTGTGGAAGTGAAGACTGACTGGATTGACTGAAAGGTTGAATAGTTAGGCAGCTTCGAATAATCGGTGCCTATTCTGGTCCCTCAGAGACTTAATTCAATACTCTATGCCCATTAGCACGGAGGCGTCTTAAGTTCTTGAAGAGAGTCGAAACTGGGTTGACTGGTTAGACAGCTTCGAATAATCGGTGCCTAATCTGGTCCCTAAGAGACTTGATGCGTGATTCTATGCTCATTGGCATAGTTTCAGAAACGTCTTAAGTTCTCGAAAAGAGTCAGCCTTGGGTTCACCAGTTAGGCAGCTTCGAGTAATCAGTGCCTGTTCTGGTATCTAAGAGACTTAACGCGTGATTCTATGCTCATTGGCATAGTTTCAGAAACGCCTTAAGTTCTCAAAAGTGGATTTGGTACGAGACTCTATGCTCATTGGCATAGTTTCGCACGCGTACTAAAGTCACACAATTTGTATCAAGTGTTGTTCTGACTCTTGTTGTTTTGTGTTGGTTGTGCGAAAGCCGACAAGACTCGACGGCCCAGTGAAAACAGGCCAGGGTTGTGCGAAAGCCGACCGACTCACAGACAGGCCCAGTGAAAACAGGCCTTGGGTTCTGTGAAAACCAATCCGCCTCGTTCTTTTGTTTCTTGTGCTATTTGTCGACCTAGGGTTCTTTGCTGGATTCTATACTCATTGGTATAGTTTCACACGCAGCTTAGAATTTCCATAGGCTCCGTTATTGTAATTCTTCCGCATTCATTTTATTTATTTCTTGGAGTTGTATCGACATCACCATCGGATGCACACGTCGAGGTTGTACGATTAAACGGCAACAAACATATCCCAAGTCGAAGACCCAACAAGAAGAAGTTCTAATTCCTGTATTCCAGTTTGTTCATTGACATTTACATTATTATAGAGTTCATTTAGTTCAATTCCTCTTCATTTACTTCCGTCGATTAATAAAATTGTTATCGAATATTTTTACGCGTTCGTGTGTTACTCAGTAAAATCATATAATTCGAAAAAGCCCAGTGCCACACAGGACTGGTCGAACTCACGATAAAAATATACACAAAAATTATTGTCGGACCATAAAAAAAATTCCCTGAGAAAGATAGAGGAGGAGATTACCTACCTCACTTCAGTTGTTTTCATCATTTATAAATTTCCGACAATTAGCGCCCAACGTGGGGCTTTGTCATCATTTGGAAATTCTCATTATTAGAAAATCTCCGACAATATATATATATATATATATATATATATATATATATATTATATGTATGTTTATTATATTTTTATGTATGTTTATATATTATGTATACGTTTTTGCATTCATATATGTCCAATTACCAACCTTATATCGTGTTCCCATGGGTCCCATTTTCGTCTATACACTTAATTCTTTCTTTCTCAATTTATTGTTGGTATTTTTTTGTCTTTTTTGATTCAACATGTATATTCTGTGGCATTTTTTGACAACATGAATATTTGTTTTTTTCAAGTTCCATATAATTTTTACTAGCAATACAACTATACATCTTGCTTTATTACAAAAAATGTAGTAACATAGTAAAAAGAAAATTTTTTCAGCATATTTATTTTAAATAAATAAAAATGATTAATATTTTACATTCCTATTTGAAATTTTTAACGATTTTTTAATTGAAACAAATTTTTTTCTTTTTATCGTTCAACATTGTCAAAATAAATTTATTGAAAGGGTGTGCAAGGATACGAAAGTGAGCGTAGTTTTATTAATGAACAAGCATTGGAAAACTTTTTAAAAGCTGGTAAAATAGGATCGATAATAACTTTCATGAACCGCAGACACACAAATCATAGAGCATAATAATCTTTTGACGGGTTAAGATAAGAGAAACAGCCAATCATCTTTATGAGCATACAAATGCATTAAATTACAATTGTTAAAAAATCAAAAACAGGCAGCCTGAACATGAATCACTGATGAAATGATCAATCAAAGCCAGATACGGAATCTAAATACTTTTACAATATCCAGACTTGAAAGAAAATATAAATGGGTCTTTTATTATAACCGAAATATGAAAAACATGCCGACATAAAACAGATTAATAGCAAATGTAAACAGTAACACACAGCTAAATGCAAACAATTTTATAAACATCCACACACACAAACACTCGCACACACACACAAACACACGTACATATAAACAGTGCTACAAAGATTCACACACGTGCAATATTTCAGGCATCCCAGTCCACTCAACCTCTTAATTTATTTTATACCATCTCTAAAGTCCAGACTTACCTCTCAGGTACGTTGAGAGCAGCCATAAATACGCACACCCATTTGTTTTCACACACATACATGCATACATACATACATGCATGCATGCATACATACATTCGTGCATGCATGCATAACATAACAGTTTATTCACAATAAGGGAACCTAAAAAAGTAAAAAAGAAAACTAGTAAATAGACCACCCTAAGTAAATTTTACACAAGAATTACATTACTTATATTTAGTATTACATTTGATAAATCAAAATTGAATAAATTTTGTCAAATCAAAATTATATTATATCACTAAATTGAAAATAATATGACCAAGTTACAACCACTTACATAATTAATTCAAACTGAATTAAAATATACAAAATTAGATACAAAACTAGGGGGTGTTGCCGGGTCCAAGTAATGGTCTTAGCTTATTTTTGAATAGATATAGATATGTAATATTTTTAATCTTTCTGGGTACTAAGTTTTGCCAAATTTTAGAATCTAGGTTTTTAATACTAGTCGTAATAAGTCTTAGGCGTGTTTAATAAGAGTACATGACAGATATGTGTCTTGTGTTTGTAGTTCGAACGGATTCACTCAAATATAAAAGTTAGAGAAAGAAGGTGGGAGCAAATTGTTTAAGAATTTGTGGACAAGGATAGGCGAAAAATAAATGTAAAGACAGGAAAGAGATAAACTATTATGTTTAAGAAAGGAGGAACTTGTAAATGCATGAGGATCGAGATTGAAAATTATACGAATAAATTATTAAAATGACTAAATTAATAAAGAGGAATTAAGAATTGTTTTTAGATGTTATCTTATCAATATATCTTTATATCTTGAAGTGCACTCAACTATTACCCTACTATCTCGTGTAGGTAGCATTAGCATGATGCGATCACGATAATAAAACACTGCAAACAAATATCGATTAATGAAAATTCAAAATTGCCTGAAAATATTAGTCATCGACTATGATTTTTTTTTCATTAGAACGGAATTATTTCTAAAAGTTGGCACCTTTTCTTTATTTTTACACAATCTCGAAAGAATATTGAATGATTGTTGTTCAATTAGAATTTTATTCCATTAAGTTTCAAATCATGGGTAATTTTGGAGCTCAAAGTTTTTAAGAACACATTCATATTTTGCATCTTTTGTTTTTAATTTTGAGGGTAGGGAGGAATGGAGAGCGGAAATAAACTGGAGTGAAGAGGCGATGAGGAATAAGACAACGGGAGTTGGGGAGGGGTTTGGGAATGACCCTAAAATTCAATTCCCACTTACCTATACATACATATTCAGAATACTCAAATAAAAATTAATTGAACAAAAAGCAAATTCTTTGTGAACGTTCAAACGGGCATATATAACCGTAGGAATCCAACATAAACATTTCATAGAGGCATTCGAGCGTTAAAAAATACAAAGAATTGAAAAAAAGAAGGTGGAAGTTTTATGTCGTTGTCTAATAAAAAAGGCTGGTGTCTGGTTGCTCTGAAGATGTTGTTGTTGCCGATGATGATGAGGATGTTGTTGTTGTTGTCGATGATGATGATGTTGTTGTTGTTGTTGATGTTGTTGTTGTTATTATTATTATTATTATTGTTGCAGTTTTGCTCATGTTGTTTATGATGAGTACATTAGATTTGGTTGCATGGTTTATTAAGGTAGGCTCACGTTTGGTTTTGTTTATGTTGTTGTTCATGATTTTGTTGTTGATCATGTCTTCACTGTTATTGATTTTGTTTTAAGAATGAATGCCCATGTTTTTCGTGGAATTGTTGTTACTTTTTGACAATACCGTTGATTCAATCGTTAGTCTTGTTGTTCAGACTGATGTCATCTTTGTCGTTGCTCAATTTTTTAATAAAAAAAAACGTTATGATTGTGCTATTGTAAATATTTTCATGTACGTGTGAAAATATTTTAGACTTCATTAACGGTCTGACAGAGAAAATGTTATATATGGGCATGTTGTCTGTTGAGCTTCATTCCATTATGTTACGTTACGTGACGTTATTTTATTCAATTTTACGTTATGTTATGTTATGTTATTTTGTTATTTTCATATTTTATTTTTTTCCGAAGCAAATAGCTCATCACAACTCTCTTCAAGGCATCCATTACATGATTTAAATAATGTTATTTCGTTATTTATTCGTGTTATTATTTAATATCAGATTGATGTTATTATGTTTTATATTCTTATTTTGTTATTGTTTATTGATGAGAGATTAATGTTCTGTCTCAACTTTTTCCAAGATTCTCAAAAAGTTGATGAGTATCAGAATGTTATCATTCTTTAAACGTTTTCACAATCTATCTTGTAAACTTTGAGCCATCGTATTTTGTTTCGTTTGAGGATCCAAATCTCCCACCCATCGGTTATACGTTTACATGAACTTATTTTTTCCGATCATTTGTTATACATCGTATGTATATTTCAGTTGATTTAATGGAGTTTTATATATTTCTGTTTAATAGGCTGGGATTACGAAGGCCTGCACAGGACTTGGCCTTTTTCCGTCTCTAGAACTCAACTGCCTGATGTAGTTTTTTTTCTCGGTTGATTTCAAATGAAATTCTTTCGTTCGTTCGTTAAATAATTGCAGTTATGATTTTGTTATTTTTATGTTGCTATCAGGTTGGTGTTATTATTTCGATATAAGATTGCTGCAGCCGACTGGTTGTTATGATGTTAGAAAGTGTTGTCTTGGTCTCGTTGCTGATTGGCAATTTGAATTTTTTAAGATTATCCTTGACGCGTTTGTTCTATTGTATCGCTAGTGATGTTGTTGTTGTTGATGTTGTTGTTGTTGTTGTTTGTGATGCTGTTGATGTTGATGCTGTTGATGTTGATTTTGTTGATGTTGATGTTGTTGTTCATGATGTTATTGTTGATGTTTATGATGTTGTTGCTGCTGTTGTTCGTGATGTTGTTGTTTAGGATGTTGTTGTTGTTGTTGTTGTTGTTGTTTTTCATGATGTTGATGTTGATGTTGTTGTTGATGTTGTCGTTGTTCGTGATGTTGTTGTTGTTTATGATATTGTTGTTGTTTGTGATGTTGTTTGTGATATTGTTGATGTTTGTGATGTTGTTGTTGTTTATAATGTTGTTGTTGTTGTTCATGATGTTGTTGTTGATGTTGTTGTTGATGTTGTTGCTCATGATGTTGTTGTGTTATTGTTGT